TAGCAGTGATTTTTGTTTTGTTTGTTTGTTTGTTTTTCATTGCTTGAAAAGCTGCCTTCTCCACAACACATAGACTCTTAGAAGGAAGGAACATGTCCTCCTTCTCAACTTCGTGTTTTCTGCTCAGCAAAGAGGAAATGCATCAGAGGCCTTAAAAAACAAAACACCAAACTCTTTGCCATCGAGTCAATTCTGACTCATAGGAACCCCCACTGGTTTCCAAGGCTGTATATCTTTATGGAAGCTGACCACTTCACCTTTCTTCCACGGAGCTGCTGGTGAGTTTGAACCACCGACCTTTTTGGTTAGCAGCCAAATGTCTTGCCCACTACACCACTAGAGGCCTTAGCACAGGCCAACCCACTCATATCCAAGCCAGCCTGGATCATTCATCCTTTTACTTCCACACTCATCACTCACACACAGCTAGGGCAGGGTGGCCAGATTTAGCAAATAAAAATACAGGATGCCCAGTTACATTTAAATTTCAGAGAAACAACAAATTTATTTTTTTAGTATAAGTATATTCCTCCATGTAATATTTGGGACAGACTTACACTAATAAATTATTCATTGCTTACCTGAAATTCAAATTTAACTGGGCATCTTGTATTTTATCTGGCAACCCTAACCCAGGGTCTTGAGAGTAGCAGGAAGTCAGTAAGTGAATTGTGTGGGGGATGGGGATGGGAGGGGAATACAAAGATAAAGGAATCTGCTCTGTACAGGCCTAAGGCTTCAGATAAGGATGGAATGAGCAGTTATCAGGTTATCTGTGTTTCTCTCCCCCATCTCCATGACTTCCCCCACCCCACTGAATAGTTGGCCGTTCAAACCCACAAGCTACTCCATGGAAGGAAGACTGGGCAATCTATTTCTGTAAAGATTTACCACCTAGGAAACCCAAAGGGTTTGCTCCACGGCAATTCTAAGTATCCTGTCGAGGATCCATTAAAGCCATGGGTCATCTCAAAGAGACACTGGCTCTCCTCCGAGCACAAACCCTTCTGCTCTTGCTTCCTTCCTATCTGTACCCTCTCAGGGCTGGCTGCCTGGGAGGGTGCCTTAGCTTGCTCATTCCTGAGCTCCACACATAGAGCAGTAGGTTCTCCTTGGAGGATGATATCCCAGGGTGATGTTTGGCCTCAAACTTGCCTGAGCTTGCACACAGGCTGGGGTGTGAGGGGATAGCACTATGTTGATGTGGAACCTGAATGGAGAGAAATGGAAAAACCAGCTCTCAGCTCTATAACAAACCAAAAAAAAAAGGGGGGGGGGGAGCTCTGGTGGCATAGTGCCTAAGGCATTTGACTACCTCAATAACAAAGTACCCTTCAAATGCTGCCTGGTGCTTGAGCCTCTCCGGCCTCAGTGGCTGCAGGGTGTGAAGGGCAGGACAGCACAGGGCTTGTCCATCTCCCCATTTGCCCCACAGAGAGAAGTGGACAGTGGAGGACACATATGCTAGTCCAAGTGAAAGTGAATCTGCACATAGTCCATGGCCCTTAACCCAGCAGCACCTGAGAAGGGTCAGGGCCTATGCAGTATCACTTTGCACATGATTCCCTGGTTACATTAGAAAGCCAGAGTCCAAGGCCTTCTCAGGGTAACCTAACCTCCACCAGGAGTATATGACACCATTTGAGGAGAGAAGGAAAGTATGGGAGACCCATGCTGGAGACAAAGAAACCAACTAGTGGTAGGAAAGGGACTGATGGGTCTATCAAAGTGGTGTCCAAGCTCACCATTATTATCTGAACATCATGTATAAAGCTCCCCTACCCCCATGGTGCCCAAGTGTACAATCTGTGAATATATGAGGAATGCTCTAAGCTTATTTAGCTTGGTGGTTCTTTGCCGGGGGCCCATAAAGTGAACAACTGACATTGTAGAGGAAAATGTATATAACCATTTGCTGTCAATTCAATTTTGACTCATGGTGACCTTATGTGTGTCAAAGTAAAACTGTGCTCCGCAGGATTTTCAATGGCTGATTTCCTGGAAGCGGATCACCAGGTTTTTCTTCCAAAGTGCCTCTGGGTGCTCTTTTCTTGGGGAGAGGGCTTCCACAAGGTACACAAAGGGATCTGTGTTCCTGACAAGATCCAGAACCATGAGTTGGCAGAGCCAGCTAAGCAGTTTCCTCTAGGCTGGCTTAGTGAACCCAGGACTTCCAGGGTTCCAACGTAGGGCTTAGCCAAAAATGGGAGGAGCTAAATATTACTGAGATCACCACTCCTCTGGGCCATACCCTGCTCCCAACAGACTCCCATCCTACCCAAAGGCAAGCTCCAGAGAGACAGCACCCGTGGCTTCCATGACTCGGAACATTCTGATCAGAATTGGGACCAGAGCAGCTCATCAGTACAGAGTAAAGCAAAGTGACAGAAACAACAAAGCAACACAATAACAGTAGGTCCTAAGTACCCAGACTTCCAACTGTGCAGCCCAACATCCTTGTCACCTAGTTCACATCAGGGTAACTCAATATACAACAAAATACAAGGAAAAATATTCACTTAATTCTCACAACAACCCTACTAGGTGGGTACTATTTAATTCTCCGTTCTACAGATGAGAAAAGTGAGCCTAGAGAAGTAACCTATTCAGGGGCACATACTGACAGAACCAGTAACCAGCTCCAGGCAAAATGTCCCCAACATCTAAGCTCTAAGCTACTCTCCTACATAGCCTCTCAGAAAGCTGAGTTCTGAGGGTGACCAATGACCAGAGATGGAGCTAGCTATTTCATTTATAACTTCTCTATAAAACCAAAACCAAATATGTTGCTATTGAATCAATTCTGACTCATAGCAACCCTGTAAGACAGAGTAGAACTCCCACATAGGGTTTCTAAACCTGTAATCTTTACAGAAGACTGCCACATCTTTCTACCATGGAGCAGCTGATGAGTTCGAACTGCAGACCTTTCGGTTAGCAGCCAAGCAGTTAACCACTGTACCACCAGGGCTCCTTAACTACTCTGTAGGGGCTGCCATATTGAAATCAGTGACCCTGAAAGATAAGGAAGGCTTTCCAACATGAACACCACTAAAAGTCATTATGGCATGAGTTCGGTAAAATGGGTTACCAATGTTGTTATACTTGGCTCAAAGGTTAAATTCCAAAGAACCACCCTCAACCCTTCCCAAACTGCATCTGAAGGGTGGCAATGGCCCTGATGTACAAACCTGGCCATGGTCATGGCCATTCCAAGGCTAGAGCCCAGCACATCTCATAAGCTGCTCTATGCTTATATGTCCCCTCTTGACACACAGGAAATGAGCCCTCCAGACAAGGGAGAGGTGGGGAGGCTGCATTCCTTTCTCATGAGATTCTGAAAGGGGGGAAGAAACATTCTGATTTGGGAGTTTCCGTTGACTTTGGACCCCCTCTGGCTCATCAATGAGTCCTTTCAGGGTTCCCTCTCCCCAACTGAGTTATCATTTCCTGTCCAGTACACTACACCCATTGATGGGTATCAGCAAATCCTACCAGTTTATGCCTGAAGGACCCAAGGAGACTGGATAGGAACTAAGGAGGAAAGAGGAAGAAGGCAGGAGAATAAGGAGTGGCTTTCAATCCCATTTTATTGGATTAAGAGAAGATTTTTAATACAGGAAGTGGACTTACCTTTGACTCTTCTCATAGGAAGAGCAATACGGACTATGGTATAAAACTCAGATACTAGGAGGCAAGCATACAAGGCATGGTCTCTCCAAAATGACTCACCATCAAAGCCCTAGCACAGGAAACAGTAAACCCTAGTTGTGAGGTGCCAAGAATGGGTGTCTCTTTGCATTTTTATTGGCCAAAACCAGGCTCATGGTCTTAAGGAAGAATCTAGAACAACTTGGCTTTCCCTTACTAGTACAGGAAGGGTTGTTACCCAACTCACAATGATTCTCCTTTCCCTGGTACCTGCCTCTGATATACAGGGGTTGGTCCCCTAATGGCCATGTCTATGCTACATAACCCCTGACCCATGGCCATACTGATTGGTCCACAGAGGACATCTGACTCAAGCTGGCGAATCAGAGTCTTCCTTTGGATTTTTCAATTTGGAACTGAGAGAGAGTTGGTCTCTCTCACTCTTGGCAGCCACAGGATGTAAAATTTGGGAACTTGTGACAGTCAGTTTTCTCAGGGTGTGGGAGAAAGGGTATGAGGTAGAAGTAGCTGAGGACAGTGCCCAGAGGAAAGCAGGGACAAGGCAGAGGGAAAGCAGCCCCTGGTTCTAAGTGTTTTTGAAGCCCCCTTTCACTACTCTTCTCACCATCTGGTCAACCGCATAATCTCCCCCAGTCTATCCTTTCAACCAAGTCCCCCTTTTGCCTAAGCCAGCATGAGCAGAAAGTTGTCATCTGTAACCAAAGAAGGCCTAACTAAAGTAATCAGCACCAAGGAAGGAGTCTGCATTGGCAGCTATGGGACCATCCTACCATCTATATGAACATGTATATTAGAGACACATACATATCACACACATAAACACAAACAGCGAGGCAAGAGTCCTTTTCAATTAGACAGACACAATGATATGCCCAGTTTGTCTGCAGTTCAAGAAATTGCTTATTTTCTGTTTTGGTTTTCTCTGTGTGTTTGCTCTTCTTTGCCTGCAATGATGTGGCAGTTTGTGTCTTACCCTGGTGTTTCTAGACACATGTCTGCTCATGCATGTAGCACCCACAGTCATCCTCCTGCCTTCTCCACTGTGGTTTCCTAGCCCTCAGGCAAAGATGGGTGACAAAGCACGACTGTTAGGACCATCTGAGGAATCCAACAAAGCCCCAACTGTCTGCCTGCAATATCCCAGACTGAGACCAGCCCAGTTCAGCCCGCAGACACCATCATCTGTCTCTCTGCTCCCACCTTCCTCTGACTCCGAGAGCTCGGGCAGGATGCTCTTCAGATCAACAAGGGCAGGACAGGGGCCAGTCTATCAGGGACTCTGAGCACACTGGTGGAACTGGGCAACCGCTGAACTCAGATAAACTCACCTGCAGGTCAAAGAACTTGCTGTACCTCCGATAGATGGTCTGGGAGGTGGAGTCGGACCAGGTCACATTGATGATGTAGACCTGTGGGAAGAAAGTCAGAGCAGGTGAGGAGGTGACCATGGTTGGGCACCAAACTGTCCCAATCATCATCTAACATGACTGTGGGGGGCTCAATAGCTGGGCCCATTCTTTTTCTCATCTCTCTCCTCAGGGCTTAGCACAGTGTTAGATACACACAACCAAAAAACCAAACCAAACTCACTGCCATCAAGTCAAGTCTGACTCTTAGTGACCCCTCCTTGGGTTTCTGAAGCAGTATCACTATGGAAGTAGATTGCTCAATCTTCCTTCTGAGGAGTGGCTGATGGGTACACACATATACATGTACATGCATACATATATACACACATATATATATTCACACACACATATGTCTACATATGTGTGCATGTGTGTGGTCTAGAGAGGCACTGAATAAAATGCCAGGGATGATTATTTTAGGATGGTGGGATTATAAGTGGTTGTAACTTCTTTTTGTTTATATGTGAACATACATTCCTGGGTCATTAAAACATATATTATTTGAGGTAGCTAACTTCCACTAGACCAATTATTCTCAAACTTTAGAGTAAGTAAGATTCCACCAGGGGCTTTTCCATAAGTGCATGTGCCTGGACCCCACCCTTGGAAATTGTGCATAAGTGGACTTGGGCTTAGGGAACTTGGTCACACACACACACACACACACACACACACAAACATACATATATATATTTTTTCTTTTTTTATGGCAGTTATTTCCGTTTGTTTCATTCTTTTTATTTTTATTTTTAATTGTGATGTGGGTGAAGAGAGTACTCCCCTTCCACTCAGAGAAAATTCACTTTCCATATAGCAGTTTACATACAGTTTGTCTCGTGACATTGACTACAATTTACCCCAATGCAACAGCTCCCCTCCCACTTCCTCCCCATAGCTACCTCTTCCCTGTGTCCATCCTCCATGCACTCCTGCCCCCTGAGCTGTCTCCCTGTGCATAAATAGCTCTTCTTTCTCCCATGATTGTTCTCTCCAAGGAGTGTATCTACCTCAGGTAAATGTTCAACACGTATGCCTGTCTTTTGTTTGGCTGGAAGCCACAGGTGTGGGTTCAATTCCAGACCTGAAAGGCAGCTAGGGGCCATAGTCTCAGTGGTTCCATCAGGCTCTATCAGAAAGGCAAACCTGGTCCCCCTTTTTTTTTCCCCAAATGATTTTGAGTTTTATTCCACATTGTTCTCCCACTCTATACAGGATCTCCTACATAGATCCCCCTCCGAGTGGTTGACAGTGGTAGTCGGGCACCATCTAGTTCTTCTGGTCTCATAGTCATATAGGCTGAGGATCGCATGGTATACCAGTCACTAGGACTAATTATTTCCATGAATCTTTGGTTTTCTTCATTCTTATGGTCACCTGTATTTTTAAAAACCCAAAGCAAAACCAAACTAATTGTTGTCGAGTTGACTCGGACACATGGTCTCCCCATGTTTATCAGAACAGAGCTGTGCTCCACAGTTTTCAAAGGCTGTCATCTTTTGGCAGTAGATCACCAGGCCTTTCTTCCAAGGTGAAGAAAGGACTTGAACCTCCAACCTTTGGGTTAGCAGTCAAGCCCTTAACCATTTGCACTACACAGGGATTCCTTTAACAAACCACCCCAGGTTATTTTGCACAGTTGATCCTCAGAACTCACTATGAATATCACTCCTGGACAAGAGGTACACCTGCAGGGGAAGTATTAATGATTAAGAAGGTATTGGCGATTGGAAGAGGTCTTTGCAAACTTTTATCGCCGGGCCTCTAACAGTGAAGGCATTTCAGTGCCACATTGTAGCCTAGTTCCCAGTGCTCCTCAAGCTCTCCAGGGCTGCTACCTCCCGCTGCTCTGGAAAGCTCACCTGGCTCAGGAGGTGGGTGGGACTGCTCCTGAAGGAGGGGAGAAAGCCCCCTGCCCAATCTGGCCTCCTGTTTCCATGTTCCTATCCCTTTCACCTAAACCCACACCAAAGGCTACTCTCCTAGGAGAGGCCTAGGTTGGAGGGCTGGGTCCCCTCACATAGCTTCTGGGCTATCCCTGTTAACTCCTCTGGTGTCTGCCATGATGTTTCCAGGTATGTGGTTAAGAGGAAAAAACTGATGGAGAGACAGGGAGTCCTGCCTCTCGTCTGCCCTCAGAAGAGAGTGAGGGCTGTAGATCCACAATGGCAGGACACCCATCAGCATCAGAGCTCCCCATAGGGAGCTGGTTCCCGGGCTTCTGTCTAGTGATTCTGATTCAGTAGACCTGGGTTGACTCCAAGAGTGAGGAGAACAAAATGGCCAGGGAAGCTAGAAGTCTCAGTGAGAGGAAGAGATGTTACCAAAGAGGAGGAGCAGTCAGACACCTTGGCATTGGACTCAGTTCTCCGAGATGCCGGGCACAAGGTCTACACACAGGGTAGTAAGGTTTTATATTTGGCTACTCAAGGAAACGACCCAACTCTAATCGCTTCTCCCCTCTCATCTCGAAGTCCAGTGGGGAGTGTTTGTTCTAAAATGCAACCCTACAACACAAGCAAACAGGACTGAGCACTCACACACACACACACACACACACACACACCCCACCCAGATGGGGCATTGGCATTTATGACCTGTTTTTTTTTTTTTTTTTTTTAATATTTCCTGTGATTTGAGTGGAAGTTTACAGAGCAAATTCATCTTCCATCCAGTAGTTCACATACACTTTGTCTCATGACATTGACTGAAATTTCCCACAATGCAACAGCTCCCCTCCCACTTCCTCCCCATAGCTACCTCTTCACTGTGTCCTTCACTCCCATGCACTCCTGCCCCCTGAGCTGCGCATACACAGCCCTTCTATTCTCCCATGATTGATCTCTCCAAGGACTGTATCTTACCTAATGTAAGTGTTCAGCTAATATGCCTGTCTTTTGTTTGGCTGGAAACCACAGGAGTGGGTTCAATTCCAGAGATGAAGGGGCTAGGGGCCATAGTCTCAGGGGTTCCACCAGGCTCTGTCAGACCAGCAAACCTGATCCCTTTTTTTTTTTTAATGATTCTGAGTTTTGTTCCACATTGTTGTCCCACTCTATCCAGGATCTCCTAAATAGATCCCCCTCCGAGTAGTTGACAGTGGTAGCTGGGCACCATCTAGTTCTTCTGGTCTCTTAGTCATATAGGCTGAGGATACCATGGTGCACCAGTCCCTTGGACTAATTGTTTCCATGTGTTTTTGGTTTTCTTCATTCTTCTTTTCTCTGGATGAGGAGAGACTCATCACTGCATCTAGATGGCTGCTTGTAAGCTTTTAAGATCCCAGTTGCTACTTACCAAAGTAGGATGTGGAACAAGGTTTTTGTATAGAATGTTATGCCAATTGAGCTTATGACCTGTTTTATGTGATCCTGACAAGGTAGAAAAGAGAGTAAAAGGTCACCCCATTCTCAGTAGCCCAAAATGAGCTGTTGATTATTATAAAAGATAGGATATACTTTGTTTTATATCATATATAAGCATGTTGTTGTTGCCAGGTACCATAGAGTTAGTGCTGACACATCAAGACCCTATGTACAACACAAAGAAACTTTGCCCAGTCTTACGCCATCCTCATGATCATTGGATACTTTGAGCCCATCATCACAGCCACTGTGTCAACCCATCTCTTTGAGGGTCTTCCCCTTTTACACTGACCTTCTACTTCACCCAGCATTATATCCTTCTCCAGGAACTAGTCCCTTCTGACAACATAATCAAAGTACGAGAGATGAAGTCTGGATATTTTTGCTTCTAAGGAGCATTCTGGCTGTACTTCCTCCAGAACAGATTACTTCTTTCTTCTAGATGTCCATGATACATTTAATATTCATTGCTAACACCACAATTCAAATGCATCAACTCTTCTGTGGTCTTCCTTATTCATTGTTCAGCTCTCGCATATATACGAGGCTACTGAGAATACCATGGCTTGGGTTAGGCGCACCTTAGTCTTCAACATAACATCTCTGCCCTTAACCACTTTAAAGAGGTCTTTGGCAGCAGATTTGCCCAATGCAATACATCTTTTGATTTCTTGACTGCTGCTTCCACGGGCATTGATTGTGGATCCAAGTAAAATGAAATCCTTAATAACTTCAATCTTTTCTCCTTTTATCACAATGCTGCTTATTGCTCCAGTTGTGAGGATTTTTGTTTTCTTTATGCGGAGGTGTAATCCATATTGAAGCCTGGAGTCTTTGATCTTCATCAGTAAGTGCTTCTAGTCTTCTTCACTTTCAGCAATCAAGGTTGTGTCATCTGCATATCGCAGGTAGTTAATGAGTCTTCCTCCTATCTTGATGCTGCATTCTTCTTCAGATAGTCCAGCTTCTCAGATTATTTGCTCAACATACAGACTGAATAAGTATGGTGACAGAATATAACCCTTACACTTTTCCTGCATTTAAACCATGCAGTATCCTCATTGCTCTGTTTGAATAACTACCTCTTGGTCTATGTAGAGGGTTCCTCATGAGCACAATTAAGTGTTCTAGAATTCCCATTCTTTGTAATGTTATCTATAATTTGTTATGATCCACAGAGTCAAATGCCTTTGCATAGTCAAGAAATATGTAAACATCTTTCTGGTATTCTTTGTTTTCAGCCAAGATCGATCTGAGATCGGCAATGATATCCCTTTTTCCATGTCCTCTTCTGAATCTGGCTTAAATTTCAGGCAGTTCCCTGTAGATGTACCACTGCAACCATATCTGAATTATCTTCAGCAAAATTTTACTTCCTTTGATATTAATGACATTGTTCAATAATTTCTGCATTCAATTCAATCATCTCTCTTTGTAATGGGCACAAACGTGGATCTTTTCCAGTCAGTTGGTCAAGTAACTGTCTTCCAAATATCTTGGCGTAAATAAGCGAGCACCTCCAGTGCTGCATCCATTTGTTGAATCATCTCAATTGGTATTCTGTCAATTCCTGGAGCCTCATTTTTCACCAGTTCCTTCAGTGCAGCTTGGACCCTTCCTTCAGTTCTTAATGATATG